CAAAAGCCTCAGAGTACCCAATGCGTAAGCAACAGTACAAATTTGACATTAAAATAAATCTCCCCAATTTTCCTCATGAAATGACAGATCTCCATCCAGCCTCTTGTAAATTATGATTATTTACTCTTACTTTGGGTTACAAGGAAACACAGCCAATGAAAGGGGTCTGGAATAGAGCCCTCAGCCTGAGAAATATGTCCATCAGAGAAGGTCCCATGCTGAGCCCTCTCCCTCTCCCCTCCCCCCAAAAAAAAGAAATCCCCACTAATCCAAAGAAATTGTAGAGGATAAGGTGAAAAATATAGGAAAAAAATTCCTTTCCTTTGTAATTACCTCAGAAGTCCCCACATTCAACATGCAACATTGTTGTTCTTTGCTGGAGCACCATCAGGAGCGACAACCTTTGTCTAAAAGTAGCAGTCATTCAGGTGCCATTCAAACATTTATCATAATCTACAAATAAAATACACAATATACAAACCTTTATAATGTACATAATCACTAGAAACTTTAGGTAAATAAGAATTTAATCTATAAATAAAAGAGTTGCAATTCAAGCACTCATATGACCTTTATTCCACTTTACACTTGTAAATACCAACAATCTCCTCAAAACATATTGTGACATAACAAATATTTTTTTTAGGACTTTTAATCAAACAAAGAATCAATTTCTATCTTCCAAAAATAATTGAAGAGGGAGATTTTTTTTTACCTAATACAGTGATTGTTGTGATCTAATTTTATCTTCTCTTCTGACATAGTATCTGATTATCTCTAGATTCGGCATTCCCTCTTTTCTTTACTCACAATCCTTTTCATTCTAACACTTACAAAGCTTCGAAATATCAAATGTTTTTTTCGCTTTCCTCCTTGCCTTCTTCATCAATTATTCTACTTACCTATTTCCTTCCGCCACTCCACATTGCTCTCGGAGTTTTCATAGTAAAAATAAAATAAAACTAATAATGTACTAACAACTTTGTAATATACTAACCACTTAATATTGACACTGCAGTAAACAACACGTTCGCTTGGCTCTTTCACTTTGTTGACGTTCACGTAAGTGAATCCGGATCGCCTGATTCCCACGCTCAAGAGTAAATCCTTTAGAGAAAACGACATAGGGGGGGACTTTTACATTTCAATATTCACATTTACGGTGAATTGTGCTCTATTGTTTTTGCACCATTAGCATGTCTTGTAATGGTTAAAACAAATTAATGTGCTAGACATTAAAGGTCATATAAGAGAGTCAGAGATACAGTAAAAAAAAAAGGAAATAATAATAAATAATAGTAATAGTAATAATAATATTAAAGGGTATAAAATTATTACCTTGACGTAAAATGAGACATTTCATCCATGGCAACAGGCGCACGAATCGAAAATAAAGGAGATACATGACAGAGAAGAGAGATCAACCAACGCCATATCGAAATCGCGAAGGAAAACATTACTATGAACTCATTACTGCAATCTGTGAATTAGTTCCCTTATTACTTTGCCTAAACATTTATCATATTGTTTATTCATTTTATTTATCATATTCATTTTATTTATCATATTATTTAAATAAAATACCCAATATACGAATCTTCATTATGTACATAATCATTAGAAACTGTAAAAACAATTATTTTGTCATTTTCAACATCTATTTTCCTAATTCATGTACTGTATGCATTGAAAAAAAAAATTATTGAAATTATTAAATGTGTTTTGATAGGTATTTACTTTATTCTGTAAAAAAAAATATGACTTTCAACAGCGCGACTTGGCATTCCCTGACAAAGCGCCGCTGAGTAATTATCGTTTTCAGTGCTGCGCGGATCAGGTCATTTCTAAACACAATATAGTCGCTATGTAGAAGAAATAGACATTAGTGACTATCGCAGCTCAATATGTTAACCCATCAAGTGCCCCAAATGCACAAAAAAGTGATTAGAAACCAGGCCATCCAGACAACAGAAAGAAGCGAAGGAAAGTTTGGTGTTGCGAGATATAAAGGTATTTTGTTTATTCTTTAAGGAATGGATGTAGCTCTCTCTTGCCGTACATACTGAAGTGAAGAGACTGGTTGCCGGGAGGTGTTGGGCGCAGAGAATGAACCGTCCCCTCAGGCAGTGCCCGAAATGCATGCCTAGACATGGCAACTTGGATTATTGAATAAAGTTGGGGATTTAGATAGTGTGAATTTCTGGAGATTTTACCAAAATATGGGTTGGATATGTGTATATAAATATATAAATATTCATATATGTGTGTATATATATGTAAACACACATATAAACATATATATACACATATATATGTATATTTGTGGATTTCAAGTTTGTGAAAGTTGGTGCTAGAAATGATCATCAGATTTGTTCTCATCATATAAGAATAAATCATGATTTGAAAGATATCCCAATGAAGTCAATATGTAATCACATGACTAATAACATTTTAAAAATTTACCCTCTTGTTTTAGCAACAATCATTAATCTTATATTGTGGACATATAATTCACATACTGCAAAAGTGGAAAAAAAGACACACATGCTTATGAATTTTATATCAAGAAATATATAAAACAATTTATAAGTAATGAAAATATAAATCTGAGGCATACATGGAATATGTTTTAGAGTATTGCACTCGGCTTGGCTGGCCAGTGTGTCACTTTCTACCGAGTTACAAACTAACAAAATAAAAAGCACTCTCAACATGTTTGCACACAAAGAGCAAAAATTATTTTGCACATATTTGAGTGTGACGTTATGCCATATATATGTATATATACATATATATATATATATATATATATATATATATATATATATATATATATATATATTTACATATATATCCCTACCATGACAGGGCCAGAATTCTCTATAAATCCTTATGCAATAGTGTGCTGTGTATAGTTGGCCCACCCATTCGTGATTCATGATGTGTATACACGTCATTCGTCCTTACATCATAATGGCTAAAGGTGTGCCTGTCCTTAAAAGGATATATGAGGACATGACTGCTGGATGCTGCTTTCCCTCTCAGAATAACTTTAGACACAAAGATGAATGTTCCCTCACATGAAGTCAATTGGCATATCACTTGGAGATTCACTCATGGCCAATACTTCACACACGCTGATGATGGTTGTCAACAAAATCTAAATAAAGATATGAAATACTTGCACCCATTATGATTAACATAAAAAAGATATGAATGAGAATGGATATATTCACATTGAAACAAATGCATTCAATGAACTTTCATCATATCTGCATCAGACATACACATGTATATCACAAGATATAATGAAATGCTTTAAATACAACTCTAGCAGTAAAGAGATATAAATTTTCATTCATGCCTTTTTGAAAAATTTAACAACACAAATTTCTCCCGAATAATTACTTATTGTATAAGAAAAGTATGAAATGATGCATAGATATGATAGAAATATGTATACAGATATATATATACATACATAGATGCAAATGTGTTTTTATGTAAATGGACTTATAGATAACAAAATTCTTTCCTTGAATCAACTTTCATTTACCTTTTAATACAGATCTTATATAGGATTTCACATGAAGAATATGAAGTGTCTGCCTGTAACTGTAGTACCAAAATTATGATAGAAGTTACAAAACACATTCAATGTATTGGAGAGAAGCAGTTTTTTGAAACACTGTGAACATTAGTGGTTGTGTTTTGACTGCCCCTGTGACATCAAATTTGCGAAAACAAAAATACAAGTCAGAATACACAAAACTACACATAAACAAAATCATATAAAACATAAATCAAAAAAGAGAACCTTCAAACTCTGTGATGCATCTGCCACAATAATGTCAAGAGGAAGTCTTCCTTGTAATCATTTTTTTCATTCATAATTCTCATATGTCCTACAAAATTTCTTCTGTGGGTGAAGGTATATCTACAGACCTCATACATGTTATTTCTGTGACCTTTTTGTACACCAGAGTAATCTTTTTTTCACAGAGAATGCCTATATGGTTTCAACTTTGCATGCCCGCAGATAATCACTAAATCATATTTCTTGGAGAATCCTCAGGCACATTGCTCCTTTGCATGTACTCTCTTGTGTTGTGCTAGAATATATTTAGAGATTTTTATTGGAAACCAAACATAAATGGCTTATCCTCTGCATGTTCTCCAATGTGATCCACTAAGACTTATCTGAGAAGTCTTTATTGCAAATCTCACTGCTACATGGTTTCTCCTTTGTATGTACTCTATGTGGCACTAAGTTAGATCTATCTGAGAAGCCTTTATTGCAAATCTCACAGCTATATGGTTTCTCCTTTGTATGTAGTCTCATGTGCACTACTAGATGACTTTTTCGAGAGAAAGCTTTTTTGCAAATATTACAGATATGTGGTTTCTCCTTTGTATGCACTCTTGTGTGTTTTACTAAATGACATTTCTGAGAGAAGGCTTTTTTGCAAATATCACAGATATGTGGTTTCTCCTTTGTATGTACTTTCCTGTGTCTCATGAAGGCTGATCTATCTGAGAAGTCCTTATTGCAAATCTCACAGCTATATGGTTTCTCCTTTGTATGTACTCTCATGTGCACTACTAGATGACTTTTTCGAGAGAAGGCTTTTTTGCAAATATTACAGATATGTGGTTTCTCCTTTGTATGTACTTTTATCTCTTTCTCTAATCTAGATTTATCTGTGAAGCCTCTATTGTAAATCTCAAAGCTATATGGTTTTTCCTTTGTATGTACCCTCAAATGCTTCACCAAAGAAGTTTTAACAGAGAAACCTTTTTTGCAAGTGTCACAGCTATATGGTTTCTCCTTTGTATGGTGCTTCACTAATGCAAATTTTGTTGAGAAGCTTTTTTTGCAAATGTCACAGATATATGGTTTCTCCTTTGTATGTACTCTTATGTGCTTCACTAATGCAAATTTTGTTGAGAAGCTTTTTTTGCAAATGTCACAGATATATGTTAATATGAGAATGCAAATGTCACAGATATGGCTTTGTATGTATCGTCAAATGCCTTACCAGAGAACCTTTAACAGGGAAAGCCTTTTTACAAATGTCACAGATGTATGGTTTCTCCTTTGTATGTACCCTCAAATGCTTCACCAAAGAACTTTTAATAGAGAAAGCTTTTTTGCAAACCTCACAGATATATGGCTTCTCCTTTGTGTGTACTCTCATGTGCACTACTAGAGAACCTTTCTCACAGAAACCTTTTTTGCAAATGTCACAGACATATGGTTTCTCCTTTGTATGTACTCTTTTGTGCTTTACCAGGGAAAAGGCTCTTTTGCAAATCTCACAGATAAATGGTTTCTCCTTTGTATGTACTCTCATGTGCACAACTAGAGAACCTTCATCAGAGAAAGCTTTTCCACAAATCTCACAGCTATATTGTTTCTCCTTTGAATGTAGTCTCACGTGCTTTACCAGAGAAAAGATTTTTTTACAAATCTCACAACTATATGGTTTCTCCTTTGTGTGTACTCTCATGTGCACTACTAAATGAGTTTTCTGAGAAAAAGCTTTTCTGCAAATATCACAGATATGTGGTTTCTCCTTTGTATGTACTCTCCTGTGTCTCACTAAGTGATATTTTTGTGAGAAGTCTTTATAGCAAATGTCACAGCTAAATGGTTTCTCCTTTGTATGTACTCTCAAGTGCACTAGCAGATTACATTTCAGAGGGAAGGCTTTGCTGCAGATTTCACAGCTGTATGGT